TATCTGTGTTGGACAGTGATTTTATTTTTCTCCTTTAGCCACCATTTTTATGTTTAAAGCAGAAAACCTCGTTTGTTGTTAGCTGATAATATCCTGGTCACATTTATTTATCACAAGAGAACTCCAGGTAGGAAGCACCACAGAATAGCCAGAGTTTCAGTTACATCCATTTCTTTCTCTTTTGGTCTCAGTCTTTATTTTTAAATCTTCTGAAGGCTGTATACACAGAAGCACAGGGTGCAGGAAAAGTTTGGTTTTCCAAAAGTTTGCAGGCTGTTCCCTGGCCCTGGTTGCCATGGCCACCCCTTCCCCTCTTCCTCCCCAAACACACCTGGCTTCTTGCTTTTGACAGCAAAGATGTCTTTCTCAAACTGGGCATGTAGCTGAAATGTTTCGATTAGCGATGCATTCCCTGGCTCTCAACCTTGCCAGTCTCACTTTTCTCCAGGCAGAACTTCTCTGCTGTGTGCTGTCTCCCAAAACTGAGGTTGGGCGATCCATGTTAGAGCATGTAGCGTTGCAGTCCTTTCCTCATCACTACTCTTCTCCTCCTCCCTGCGTTGCCCAAGCTTCTTGCAGGATCCTGGATCAATTCAGCGTTGGGAAATGCAGCAAGCCGTTTTGGGTCTGGCCAGGCCATCCAGAGGTAGACACTCGCTGCCTTTTGGAGATGAGATAGAGACTTTTATCACCAGGCAAATCCTTCAGAGCCTTTCCCCATACTTAAAAAAAGCCTTTTATGTTCTCCCACTGAAGTGCCAAGTAGCTCACGTTTGTCAGAGAGGCCGGCCATTGGCTTTTGTGTCGAGGGGCGGCTTTTTGCCGAAGACTTCAAGGGCAATAATAGGACAGTTTGACTAAACAGGCTTTTATCTTTCCCTTGCAGCAAGGGGCCCGTAGGCGCTTTGCTGCCGTCCGTCAGGAGGCACCCGGCGTGCCTGTGCGCTAACACAAACAAGAAAGGTGAAGCGTACAAAACGGAGCCCCACTACATTGTGTATTTAACACTTTTTTTCCACTGTTTTGGTCCTGTATAAAATATGTTTCCTGGTTCGCAATATGTTTCCATGTGATCTCATTAACTCGTGCTCTAGGGCAGTTGGAAGTTACTGTTGATATGTGATTTTAAGTTATTTTACCAATCAGACACACTGCCCGTGCTTCCTTCCACCAAAAATACCTCTCGTTTTATGTATATGAAAGTGCTGGGCAACTAAGCACGGACGTCAGCAGGATCACAGCCTACGCAACAGAAACTATGTTATTTTAAATCTTTCCAAAAAAATTGGTTAAGAATTTGTCACAACAGAGCTGGATTTTTTTTTTCCTGTTATGTTACACATCTGTTCTATTTCAAACGCGAGGGCTGGAGGGGTGGGTTCCAACAAACAGCTCGGGCTCCAAAATCTACCTGGTCCTAATGATTTTGAGATAACAAGATTTGATTACCTCCTCTGTCATTTCCTGAATATACGTGGTACAGTTTTCATCAAAAGCCAGCGTGCCTTGGAAAATCACTGACACCTTTCCCTCCCGTCTCGCATTCCCATCTCTTTGGGGGCAGGAGGGAGCAGGCTCAGACAGACCGTTGGCCGGGTGCTGCCTCTTTTCCTGGGGTCTTATAGGGACGTCAGTCTAAAAGGGAAAGTGCTTTTCTGTGCTGTTTCTAAAATGGATGATGTTTTTCATTTTTCGTAATTAAAGGTCAATCTGCTTTTGGCTTTTCAAGTCCTCATATAATTTCTTTTTGTGAGTAAGAGTATACTAAGAGTATAAGAGTATAAGAGGATAAGAGTATACTACTGCCTGCCTTAACAGAAGCAGTCTTTCCGTGCCTCGTGCTTCTCTTGGTTGCATACGAGGACTGTGAGCTTAGAGCCTCGGCCTGGTTCACAGGCTGTGGGCTCTTTGAGGCAGGTTTGGGCCCACACGTCCCCCTCAGGTGCTACGAAACTGAAACTCTGTTCCTTCACGGGACTCGGCACAGGGATACTGAGGATTGCAGGACGGGGTGGGAGGGCAGAGCCCGAGCCCGCAGCCGAGGCTGAAGCTGGACAGGGTAACCCAGGTTTGCTGGGGATGTGTCTGCCGTGTGTCGGTTGCAGCTCAGAGCCTCACATCAAGTGTTAGCAGGTAGAAAATATTTAGAGACCAAGCAGAGATTTTCAGGGGGTGCTTTAGACCGAACCCTGAGGTAGCAATGGGCATCGAACCTTTTCCAGAACAAAATAGGTTACCTGGATGTACCAATCTGCCTCAAGAACTGCTGGAGTGACATCATTACTCGGAGAGTCAAGAGATGGTCTTTGTGGAGTTCTGCTTTAGCTTTTAGCTCCAATGTCTTTTTTTGTTTCAGTGTTTATGCACTGCAAGAAACAGACCCCGTTTTATAGCTAATGGAGCAAATAGTTTAAAAAGCAGGGTTCTACCAAGCAGTTATTGAATGAGCAGGTAATGCTCTGTGTTTACCAAGCCCATGCTACCTCAGTTCTTTACCTTGCTGTGACGCTTTTCCATCGCTCTTCAGTGCTGTGTTACGCAGAATCTCTCATGGGCAAAAAAGTGAAAGCCAAAATGGAAGTACAGGACTGGACTTCTGGTCCTTACTTCATGGGGACAGCGCTAGTGACTATTTCCAAAACTAAAATACCATTTCTATTTTCTACCCGTGCATTAGCATATCCCAAATCATCCTATGTTACACCATAAAGTATCGGCCCTCATGCAAGTGCTGGATTTCTGAGTATCTTACACATTTGCTGTGACTTCCTCTTTAGTCACTGTTATTTGACCAGACACGAGCTGAAATTTCCTAGAGCCAGGCCTTACTCGTTGAAAAGTAATGCACTGCACTTATGTCAAGTGTCATCAGTTTAATCCAAGAAGTGTGTTGGCCTCTAGCACTTGAGGTTTCATTACATACAGTGTTTTGTAGGGGGAGGGGGAAGAGAAATGGTTGGGTGTGTTGGTTGGGCATACGTGTATGAGGTCTACCACCTCAAAAGGAGCTTCTAGGAATAGACACCCAGTTCCAGGTGACTTATAAAAGCTCCCTACTATATTTTCTTGTACAGTTTATTCTTTTTTTTAACCACTGAAAGCCACATTTCCTTTAGGTTCAGTCTCTTTTTCGACCTCAGTACATGTATGTTCTTGGCCTAACAGACACTGGATCATGTAGTTTTTCATGTGGAGGCCGTAGTTAGTACCTAGAGAATGTATGGCTGGATACCTGTCCACCAGTTGCAAAAGAACATTTGGCTCTTATCTGCATCAATGGACATGTTTATTTTTTGTGAATTTTTTGGATTCCAGTTTTGTGACTATGACAGTATTAAACTCAAGCATGCAAAAATTGTTCATTGAGCCCCCAAGCCATATGATTTCCTTAAAAATAGTGATTTTAAAATGTTTCATATTTTCTCCTTCTTTCTTTTGATTTGTGGACCTTTCAGATGCTCTTGATGTCTTTTTTTTTTAAATAGATGTTTTGGTCCAGATCATGAGATAGAGGACAACCTTACTTGGGAGAAGTTTTGTTTCTTGAGAAATCAGGCTTTTCTGAAGGTGGAAAAAGGCACCAGCTGTCCTAAGACGAGACAGTCACTGGTGCAGCAGCACCGGATTTGCTGACCTGTGTGTTCATGGCAAACTTGTGTGTTTATGGCAAGCGAGAGACACTTCCTCAGACAGCGCAAAGACGGGGCTGTCTGAGCAAGACCCAGTGAAATGGGGATTTGTCACCATATCCTGGGACTCGTTAGTGTTAATTGAAGGGTGGGGAGTGGACAGGGAAGAGCCCGCAATGCAGCTAACCTTTTTCTCTCTCCCGCCGTCATCATGCCAGATGGGGATATTTAGATGCTTCAACAAGTTCCATTAGCCACCACGTAGCAGTGGCGTTAGTTGACGTTAGGCTGCTGTACCACAAGGCTGAAGACTGCTGGAAGCCAGCCTCAGTAAACTGATTTGTTTGTTTGTTCAATTTTATGCCCCCCCACGCTTTCCTCTGCCTGCTTTTCAGTTCATTCAGACACTCTGTGAGCATCTTATTAATGGCCTTGTTCACCAGCTCATTTTAGCACCACATGATTCTAAATTCAGAATGCGCAGAGATGTGATGCCGGCCACTTGTTCTCTCTCTTTCTGTGGCAATAGTTTTTTTTTTTCTTTCTCTAAGCCAACAAATGCAAAATTTCCCATGGAAATCGATCTCCGAGTGCGGAATTTTAGGACAGCAGTGTTAAGTGTTATCTGGGAGTATGATGATAACTTGCGTTTTCCGACTTCAGCGTGAGGAATTCCAGGGCACTGCATGCACTTCATGGAGGAGCTACTTGCTCTGAACGCCAGCAAAACACAGCCAAGTCTGGGTTGGGATGCAGCATCTATTTTAACAGCTCTCAGCCAGATTGCTCAATTGTCAGACAGCAAATTAAAAAAAAAAAAAAAAGAAAAAGAGAGCAAAATCAAGCCATGCTAACTCTTGGGTAAAATGTAAAGCAGGTATATTTTTTTGACCACAGTCAAATTGGTGGACATGTAGGCTACATCGTTGTTTTCTTTACTCTTCCAAAAAGCACACAAGGATCTTTAACAGGCATCTGGTTGGATGTGAGACACTGGTAAATAAATAATAAATTGCAACCATATTTGCATTTGGTGCGCAGTTGGAGCAGGGGCAAGCTAGCAGCCTGGTAAAAGGCTCAGCAGCCCTGTGGTTTCTCTAGTTTATGTTTTTGTTCCTAAACGGACGCTCCCTGTTAGAAAAAGTAAGTTTAGTGCAGGGCACAGCCTCAGCCACCCTCCTCCTAAGTCACCTGCTTCACTTGGGGCACTGAAACATGCTTAACCACCCTGCTTTTCCAGGCAGTGGCTTATGCTGCTGCCAGGCAGCTCTCTGGGGGTGGATGACTCCACGTGGAGTTTGGCTCATGAGCAGGGTTAGTCCCTGTGCGAGACTGGCAGTTGTCCTGACGCCTTTTGCACAGCAGCAATGTTAAGGACAAAAGTGTTGGCAGATCTTTTACGAGTGTCCTTGGACATCTGGTAACTTAGAACGTATAATGGTAATTTAATTCCCGGCCCTATAGCAGACGTGAAAATGGGGCTTAAACACCTTCGCAAAGTTTGGTAGGAGTTTGGTGTTGTTTCCTCCCTGTCTATATTCTAGTGTGCTGCTTAGTATCTTTCTTTCTTTTTTTTTTATAACTTGATAAATCTTTCTGCTAAAGGCAGAAGTCAGCCAGACTGGATAATCTGTTTTTGATTTAATCATATTGTGTATCTGGTGTATGCAAAATAAATCACTATTCATCTGTTCTGTAATCTGATTTATGTAGGATGAGTACATTGAGTGAGTTTTCTACAACCTAACACCAGGCTTTGTGAACCTGCCTTGAAACAACCATCCCTCATTACAGCGTTTAGGAGGACTGCAGTTAGATTTATTACAGCATAGAAAGGAATGGGACAGTTTGGTGGAAAATTTCATCTGAGGGAAATACGCCAATGTGTGTTTGATAGGGAGACTGCGTAGAAGACCTTTTATTTCTCTTCGTGACCCCTGTGGAAGGGCTTTTCTCACTTCCGCGTGATGCTGGCTAGATGAGGTAGTTTGGTCCTTTTCAAACTGATAAAATTTATTTGCAGCAACCAGATTTGATTTTACCACTGCACCATTTGCTTGGTGACTTTTTCATTTAACTGCGTTTAGCCACAGGAAATTAAGTGCATGATGAAGATAACCTAACATAGGAAATAGCTTTGACAGCCCCAGCCCATGACACTGTTAAATGCATCACACTGCTTCCTTTATCAGGAAAACTGCCATTAATTGTCAATTTATAATTGGGCAGGTGGTATTTTGGAATTTTGATGATAGATTGCAAGCTAACAGCAAACTGTATTTATATTTTCAGGCTTTATTTGAGAACATTAATTTTACAAATTAGTTACATGACATTTTCAGGTGCTGCTTCAAAAGGTTTTTTTGTGTTTTTTTCTTTGTTTTTTTAAAGAGACATAATTAGTTATGGTACTGTTACTTACTTTCATGTTTCTTAAAAAAACATAACAACCCGTTCATTTGAGGGGTACATGCTGCCAGTCAGAGTTCTCCTTTTTAATTAAGTGTTTAAAATTTCTAATCTGATGGATGTCGTGTCCTCAGGAAAAAAAAAAAAAAGAAAAAAAAAATCCATCAAGTGAGAATTTACTTAAAACTAGAAACATCTGCTTAAAAATGTGTGCGGATCATCACCAGGAGAGACACAGCTGTTTTGCTCTCCTCTTTGTTATTTATCATTAGTCAAATATGGTTTCTTCAGATTTTTTTTTTTTTTTTATCGAGACCTTTTCTAGGCAAAGAACAGTGGCTGTACACAATGCCCAATGGCATGTAATTTTTTTGCCATCTCTTCACCGTTTGTATGAGTGTCCAGTAGCAGAAGAGTCTCTTCTCACCTCAAGGTGGGCCCTCGCCATTTTGAGGGACAGGCTCCCACCGGAGCTCAGGAGACCTATCATCCTGTCTCTGGCCAAGGCTGGGGCTCCCTGCTCGAGCGGGGCAGAAGCCAAACTCAGTCTCCAGCTGAGTACGTGCTCGTCATACATGCTTCCAGTGTGGAAGCTCTTCTGCATCCCTTCCCTCCCAACCAGCTCATTTCAGCCGTGATTCACGCTGATCAGATTGTCCTTGCACCAGGCCTGTAGCAGCGAGGTGAGGAACTTGGTAAATTCCCAGCAGCCAGCCTCCTCGCAGGCTGGGACAAGAGCTAATTAGCTCTTTGGCTTCCTCGTCTGTGTGCTGTGCCGGGATGAGCCCTCTTTGCTGTGGCAGGTAGTCCCGGTCGGTGGCGGCGACAAAGCATGAAGGACCGTAATTTTCTGCTTGCTGGTTGTCTTCTCCAGGCTTATGAGGGAGATAATAAAGTTTGATGTAAGAGAGCAGGATAGCATGTTGTGGTTGTGCGATTTAACTGCTTGAAGAACATTTGATGGGGAGAATTCGCTAGAGGAAAGAATATACACAAGACATAGAATTAGTCTTTTCATCGTGAAGCTTTTTGCTTTGATCTTAAGATCAATACATTTGTCTCAGGCCTACTGTTTCTACAGTGCTTGTTTGTTTCTTTTTCTTTCTTTTCAACCCAAAGTGTCAGCTTGGCATTTCTTACAGCCTAGCTCTAAGTGTCTGATAGCATGGAAGTGTGGTTTTACACTGCAAGTGGGTTTCTAAGAATGACACTTCCCCACCACTGCATGCTATCGGACCTGCTCGTTTGTGTGATGGTAATGAGTCCCTAATATTTTGGTTAATTACAGAGTCAATGCAGGGCAGGAAGAGCGAGCTGGTTTTTCTTTGGGCTTGTGCATCATCATTAGTAGGATTTGTAAGCGAGTTCTGACTTCAGAGCTCGCTTCCTTGAAGTGCACGATCCAGAAAGAGGTCAGCTTCTCTTTGAGATTCTCTGACATGTTTTCTCTTGGGAAAGAAGCTGGGAAATGGCTTTTATTCTTCTTTCTGCCCCTTGTAAACTGAGCAGATTTGTTGAAATCCATTAGATTCATTAAATGCAAAACTGCTCCAGAGATGGTTTGTCATTCACTTTCACAGAAATCCTCTTCCTTAGGTTCCTCTGTGTCTTTCTGCCTACCTTTCCCTTTCTGCTTCAAGAATCAATATATTAAGATATTTGTAAGCTGTGTCTTAACATTTTTCCATTTTGTTACAAATAGAATAGCAGCTGGGCCATCAGATACGCTTAACCCATAAATCTTCATAAAATAACCATTACCTTCTAAATTACTCATGTCATGGCATTATCCATATTGATGAAATTTTAAATGTAAAATGGTGAAGAATGAACTGTGAAACACGGTCTCTAAAGTAATAGTGCTGGATGCTTGTGGTTTGTGATAGTGTACTTGGTGTTAATTTTTAATACGTTTTCCTTTCCATTATAGCCCATCCCTGCCTGCCCTTGATTGGCAGCTGCCATCTCACTCAGGACCTTACGAACTGCGTATTGAAGTGCAGCCGAAATCCCACCACCGAGCTCATTACGAGACGGAAGGCAGTCGAGGGGCTGTGAAGGCATCTGCGGGGGGCCACCCTATTGTGCAGGTACCAAAAATGTGTAACGAGCAGCACAGGTTGCTTATCTCGGCGCTCTGTGGTGAACACCCTTCTCCAAAACAGCAAAGTGGTGGCAGGGGTTTTTCTGTCCTCAAAGATTACTGCACGTGAGTGCACCTTAGGGCATATTTTGAAAGGGCTGGAACAAGCCTTTATTAAGAGGGCAAGAGATCCACTTGCTCCTGGCAGTGTGACCGTGGCGCAAGCGGGTTGCCGCTCGGTCTGCGTACAACCTGGCAAGCAGGGCCTGTGGGCCTATCCGAGCAGATTCCAGGCGCGTAGTTTATACTCAAGTCAGCTGGGGACGTGCCTCAGTACGCTTAAGTCCTTAACTTGTGGTTGGCTTAATCAGTGCTGTGAACGCGTGTCGGGGGCCGGAGCCGTAGCAGTAATGTGGAAGTATGTCTCCTAGCTGGGATATTGCAGTGAATGCTGAGCAAAGCGAGGCTTTCTGCATTTTTTCTGTTTTTCTTAAACGCTTCTAGCCACTCTGGAAAACATCTTGAGGTCTGAATCTAGTTTGTACCAAACTCTTCAGTTACTGTCTATAAAGCATGTGATTTAATACACTGTAAAATGACCCTTAATTCATTTACATGACTAGTCTCAGTCATTTTTAAAGGTGTATTCTCGGGCGTGGGAAGAACAAGATTTAGTTGTTTAAAGCAAAAAAAGAAAAAGTAGAGGGAAAGAACCAACTGTGCCTGTCCGTCCTCACCTGCTTCTTTCTCACCCAGCAGTTAAACCTTCCAGTGCCTTCTGTCAAGACTGTGACCCTTGTGCAGCGGAGGCCGGGTTTAGTCACTGCCTGGGTGCTGCGGGACCCAGGGGTGTCAGGGCGCTGTCTGTGGGAGCCAGGCAGGCCGTGCCGCCGCGCTGACGCCGCAGCTCTTCCTGTAGGAGCAGTGGGTGCCTCCTGATGGTGTGCAGACCACACGTGCAGGGCTTGTGTGCGTTTGTTTATTTGCTGTAAAGGCCACGCCGTTTGAAGGAACACCGTGAGTTTGAGATGACGTGGGGCAGGGAACGCCACTACAGAATTTGTGTGCTGCTGTGGCAGTTGAAAAAGGAAAGTGAGGGGGAGTTGTCAGCAGCAAACGCAGTTGGCTCTTTAGTTCTGCCAAAACTTATCAGTGACATGGGATTACGGAAGTGATCTGCTGAAAGACGAAAGCAGAACGTTTGTGAAGGGTACTAAAGAGGGATTTGTGGCAGACATGCTTGATGACAATTAATACCTGGTCTGTTTGTGGCTTGATGGAAGAAAATGTAAATGGGGAGGCATCAATTCACAGCAGTCAGCCTGGTGTTTAAAATTGCCTGTGTGCTTTTTGGAAGGACTGAATGTGATGCCAGCATTTAATTGGACAAAAAGCGTCCAGACGTTTCCCCTCTCATCCCCTGTCCCAGTCTGTCGGGAGGGAGCGTGCTACTTCCAAACACAAACAAATGTCAGAAAAGAGGAGAGGAAACTGCGGAAGGGCATGAAGGGAGAGGGGAGGAAGCAGCCAGTCCTAGCCCTGTCAATTGGCTCTACCGGTTTAATAAAGATTAATGTATTTTTCAGTCCCTTTATTACAACCTGAACATCCTTTTCTCCAAAAAGAACAGAAACATAAAGAGGGCCAGAAAAAGCTTCTCCATGCTGACATTGTTATCCCAGTCAGAGTTACCTATTTGAGGAAATACTTAGAAACTTATGACTTAGACCAGACTTGTATGGATGGATGAAAAGTACTTCAAAAAAAAGAAAGAAAATTTTTATAAATGCCTTTTATAAGAGAATTAGTAAGTACTTAAAAATAAAGAAGTACTTGAAAACCAAAATATTTCCCAGTGTTTCCTTCTACTGTTTCAAACCCCCTCTCACTAGCATCCTGCTTCCCAAACAGGGAGATTTTCTCACATTAATATCTCCACCTATTTGTAGGGCATGCTGAGGCAGAGGTGAAGTAAATCCAAAAAACATCCCCTGCTCATGGCACGGTTCCCCAGCAAAATTGCCAGGAGGTTGCTTTCTCTGCAGGTGGAGATTATTTATCTTTTTTTTTTTTTTCCAGGCAACATCAGCTCCCTTGCTCTGGCTCCATCTCTGCTTGTAAGAGGTGAAAGGGTCAGAGAATCAAAGATATCAGAGTCTGGATGAGGAGAACGGTGGTGTAGGAGGGCAGAAGTCTCTCATGGGTGTGACGCGAAGTCCAGGGCTGGAGACCAATTTTTTCCTTGGCTCTAGCGGCTCCTCCAGGACGTTGGCTTTTCTCTGGACCTGGAAAGGGCCGCATGTAAAGCTAAAGAGCTTTGCGCTGGGACCCGGTAGCATGACCAGCACCCGCTGGTGTAGGAGATTGCGCTCCCAGACCTGAGCCTGAGAAAGGGCAGGCAGTGCTGAGCATGGCAGGCTGTCCTGGGGGTTTGTGCTGACCTGTGGAGGGGGCAAGACTGGTTGGTGCCACCACCACCTGGTGCGGAAAGGCACCACTTGATCCTTAATCATCTCTCCCATCATCTGCGTGGGGCTGGCTCACTGGAGACTCGTGTGGGCTGTCTCCGAGGCATATTGATGCCAGCAGGATTTCCTATGGATTTCCTTCTGTGGGATGGCTGCACCCTCCCTTCTGCACTTAGGAACGCTACGTTTTTGAGCGCTTCAAGTTGCTTGTGAGGGCTAATGAGCCCAGTAATGCAGTCCTCTTTCTCATGTTTTGCCTGTTTGGGTGTTTGGCTGCCGTGGCAGCCCCAAGCTATCGCTGTTCTCAATTGCTAAACATGTGAGAGTGGGATGAGCGGGCGCACCTAGCGAGCTAAAAACGTTGCAGAAGGTTGGCAAGTGAGCGGTGCTGGGGAGTGGTGCTGGTGAGCTCATGGCTGGCACTGGCTTTTACCCGTTGGCTCAGGGAGGTGTTTTGTGAGTTGTCATTGCTTTTGGTGATTTCAGACCGGTGTACTCTCCCTTGAGTCAGAAGAGGGCCAGTGCCCCAGCTGGCATGGGGCATGATGAAGCTGCATGCCGTGCCAGGTGAGGATGAAACCTGGGACTGCTTCGGGGAGCAAAATCACACCTGTTATCATCCTGCTGGCTCCTCCACATTCACAGGAGTTCACGATGAGAGTGAGGGCTTCTCTGAATGGAGCAAGATAAAGCAAATAGGGACTTTAGGAAACCGGGAGAGTTAGATAGCTACAGCCGTATTTTAAGCAAGATGAATTTAATTCAAGGAGTTTACATCCAGAATGTCTTAAAAACATCCTCCATTTCGACCGATCTCCCATTCTTCATTTTAAAAGTGGTGGTGAGGAGTTGCACAAGATGGGGGTTACATTCCAGCCAGAATGGCTCTGTTTCAGCTGCAGGTAAGTAATCGGGCAGATAAAAGTTTGGAATCCCCAGGGAGGGATGGCACCAGATTATAAATGTATGGGCTATAGATATTCTCATTAATAACTCATCTTTGGAATAAGTGAAGCGTTTTGGCTGTCTGAGATGGAATTTTTACAAGCAGGGTGCGGTGTATCTGTGAGATAAAATCCAAATACTCAAGAATGTTTAATTAAAGGGTATGATTTACTCCCATAGAAGACTGGACTAAAGGGTGAAAGAAAATATTCAAATGCACAGAATAGCCTAGTAAGCTGTTTCAAAAGTCATGATTATTATTCAGTTTTTTGACAGAAAACATGCTGGGAATTTTCTTTAAGATCAGTCTTGACGTGAGGTAGATAAATCATGCTGGGAATTTTCTTTAAGATCACTCTTGACGTGAGGTAGATAAATCAGTTAGAAAAGGAGTTGAAGGGTTTTTCTTTTTTATCAAGATAACTATTACTAGCCAGAATTTGTTTTCCTCTTGGAAAAATAAGTTAATGTTGAAGGTGCAGTGAATGCTGCCTTGCCTTTCACTGTTGTCGCTCTGGGGTGAGATGATAGAGGTGGTGTGTGGCTTGTGCGCTCCAATACAGAATTTGATCCGAGCCTGTGAATGGACGAATATGCTGAGTTCCCTCATTTTGCAGGCAAAACACTATGATTTGTCTGCTGATTTACATAGTCAAAATGCTGTCTGTGCCAGAAGACATGCTTATAGGAGCTGGCTGTGTTGTTTCTCAACAAGAACTCAAGTAGGCCCTTTGGGTCCTGTTTTCAAAGGCGTATGTTGGGATTTTTAAATCCCCTTATGACTAACAAGTGTCATTTTTTTCGCTAAAGCAATTGCCGCCTCGGTATTTTTGTACATATCCACATCACCACAATTAGCCTCTGAGCTATTTGTGCACCCCAGTAAAACGTGGAGATTCCCGTGGATAGGTTGTTTTTTGTTGCTTTTGGGTAATGAGCTCAAGAGGTTCATGTTCAGGTGCTGGGCACCACAGGTATCTGTCAGCATTCTTTTATCTTCCAAACCCAAGAGCTATCAGTACCTCTTGCAAACTCTTCAGGGAATAGAAAGCCTTGTTGATCAAACTGTTGTAACTTCGGGGGGGGCAGCAGTCAGTCCAGTGAGCTGCGGATGCCTTCAGGCTGGGGCTTTGTGTTTTAACATCACGGTCTCATATAGCACTTCTCATGCACCTGGGTCCACAAAGAGTTAACAGCACGAGGTAACAGGGTTGTGCAGTTATGCAGAAGGCAGGATGGGAAGAAGAGAGAAATGAAGAGCTAAAGGAAAAGACTGGAAAGAGGTATTTACCATTGATGACAAGAAGGAGATGAAGGGATAAGGAAGCCAAGAGGAAGTTTCTGCCAGGCAGAGCAGGGCAGGTTCTCTGCACAGTGCTCTGATGCCGCACAGCAAGAGTAAGCCTGCAGTTAATTTTTAAGTACGTAGTCTGGGACTTCTCTGCAGCGCGTGCGTAAGTGCTTTTGTTGGTAGGGGTCCCTCAGTGCTGCAAGTTTGTTTTAAATAACAGGGCTGCCACCATTGCTGGGTGAGTCAATGGAATTGGAAAGAAAACAGTCCCTGGTGGGTCCAGCTCATGGCTATCTGACACCT